GGAAATCGAAGAGATTTACCAATAAAATCAATAAACATTTGCAGACTGCTAGTAGTGATACTGTTGAGATAAGGTAGAGTTACAGCCCTGTTTGATCAATGTTTATTACAGGGCTCATATTTTTTTAATAGAAGTGAATCAGAAAAGGGGGAGTTTTTCCCCTCCCAGCACTGGATTCGGCAGGTTTCAAATACACAGAAACTTTATCTGACTCGTTTCATTTAAATGTGTAACAGTCACTGAAATTCAAAAGCATCCTGGTTTGAACTAAAAGTTCCTTTCTTCACTCCCCCCAGGTTAATTTGTTGGCTTTTGGAGTGATTATTTATAAAGTATTTCGACACACTGCAATGTTAAAGCCAGAAGTTAGTTGTTATGAAAATATAAGGTAAGTTTGTCATTTAATACCAATTCTACTTCTGTAAGTTTAAATATAGCAAGAGATGAAAGTTTAATTTTCTGGAAGATTTATAGTAAAAGAAAGATTTTTTTTTTTCTGTTATCCCCTCATATAGAGTTGGAGGTACATTTTGCAATCTTTATTCCCATTGAGCAATACCTCATACAGTAACACTGGGGTTGTGTGAGAGTTGTATGAGAAATACAAGTGATCCGTACCAACCAGAGGGTAAAGGCTGATGGCAAGGTTAAAGAAGTAATTGTCCTATTTTCTTAAGTACTTTCCACAGTCTCTATGCAAGCCAAACCAGATTTCAGAACTTATGCCTAAATTGGGACCAAAATATTTGCCTTGAAGTAATTCAGTGATAAGAGAATCAAGCCATTCATGTTATTTGTATAAAGTCTACAGTAGGACATTGTGTTTCTGTGGTGCTGGGGGGAGCGGAGGGGATTCTCTCCAGGATTTTTACTTTGCATGCTGCTATGATTTTTCCATCAACTCACTCTCTTTAAAACTGATTTATAGGGACCTTGAAAACCGTTTGTGCAGGAAAAGCTGAAGTGTACTACAGGGAACATTGAAAACAACTTACTGTTTGTGTTGCTTAGGAACACTCCTGCAGTTTCAATGCATCGCACAAGATTTATAGTTAGGATTTAGCAATTGTTTGATTGATTACTTTCTCTTATTCCTCACCCTTCGTAGCTTCATGTGGTGAGCTGGTTTTAATGAAGTTGAAAATTATTCATTTTCGGAGGAACAGTGCTAAAAATGTCTGTTGTTCAAAGGAAGTCCTGCAATGACTGGGCTGAGAATGAATAAGAAAGTAATCAGTGGCTTCATTTCCGAGACAACATGCCGTAATTTGCTCAAGTCTGAGAGCCGGGCTCTACAGCACGTTGGAAAAAAATAAAATCATAGCCAATCAGTTCCTATAATTTCAAACCATCAATATGCTGAGCCAGGAACTATTTGAGAGTATTTGTGTGCTAAAAACAAAAATAATCATTTTTTTAAAGAGAAAGAACGAAAGAAACAAAGTCTAATTTTACGACTGGCACCGTCTTCTGCAATGAACCTGAGAGGCAGCCTGAAAATCCTTTGATGTCATGCACATGTACTGACCTGAGAGCATACTGTACTTTTTTCTGGGTTATTTTTTGAGGAAGATAAGGGGGAGGAAAAGTGGGGGAATGCTTCATAACAGACATATGTTTTTCCTTGGGGAATTACACTAACAGTAGATTTAAATCAAATCATATGGTGCTGCAGTACACCAGAGAAAACATATCTGAAGATTAAAGAAGCCAGTGTTTTAAGGCCCTCCAGTTTTACTCCTTAACTCTTCTGCAGTGATTATGTGAGCTTATTTGTGCCACAGTGCTACAGCACACCCTAAAGAGCAGTCCATGCATTTGCACTTCTCAGGTCTTTGCAGCTGTGAAAATCTTGCCTAGGCAGCGTTCACCATCCAAAGTGCCGAAGGAAGGAAAATAGCACATGCCCGCATGTTCGCAATGTTTCCTCCCTGTCTAGATCCTGTGCCCGAGGTGCTCTTGCTCTCCTGTTCCTCCTTGGGGCTACCTGGATCTTCGGGGTCCTCCACGTCATCCAGGGATCCGTGGTTACCGCCTATCTTTTTACAATCTTCAACGCATTCCAGGGGATGTTCATCTTCATTTTCCTTTGCGTGTTGTCTAGGAAGGTAAGTGTCCCATTCCTTGTGGGAAGCAACTCGGGCAGTCTTGTGTTACCCACACAGGCAGGTGCCCACCCCTAAACTGGAGCTGTGGTGAAACTGTTTTATCAGAGAAAGGGAGGAAATCCTTGTGCCATTGATGGAGCAGAGGAGGGAAGAGGGGAAATTTTCCTATTGCCTTCAGTGGAGACAGCACCTCTGTCCAATTTTTACCTTCTTCCAGTTTTAAAACCAACATATGAGACATCGGAAAATGTCTTTAAAATTTTAAAACTGGTTATAGTGCCATTAACCTGATGAAATAACTCAATGTGTGTAATAAAACTCACTTCCAGTCTTTCCAGTTCGCAGCAGGATTCACCCACACTATCGTGAGGTGATACTTCCTTCAGTATTCTGTTATAAAGTCAAAAGCAGACCCACCTTAATACATCTAGTGACACGAGCACTGCAAAATTAAAGACATGCAGACCTATTAATAAATTTATTTCAAATTTGAACTCAATATTTTTATTTCAGATTCAGGAAGAGTATTATAGGTTGCTCAAAAATGTTCCTTGCTGTTTCGGCTGCTTGAGATAAATGGAAGGAAAACATGCATCAGCAATTCAGTGGAAGAAGGGAGCAACCTAGACGATGTTGTTATGGATATTACAGAAAAATATGGTATTGTGAAAGTATGAAATGACCCAGTGAGCAGGCATGTCTCTTAACTGAATTACTGACTGGTTTTGTACATATGTGTGCATTCATGCAGAGCACTTCTTTTATGCTCCATACAAACAGTATACAAAACAAACTGGAGTATTGCAAAACAAATGTTAATGAAGACCAGGGAAAGAAGCAAATTTCTAAGGAAACTCAAGACTTTTCATGACTTAGGTTTTGTTTCTAATATTGGAAATATCTGCAGTTCTTGAAAGCAAGATACCAAAAACCAACTGGCACAGCAGATTTCATGAATTGCTTTGCTAGTGGAAACATGTTCACTGTCTTTTGGAGTAATGAGCTTCTTACGTGCAGTTGCATGTGGTCATCTGCAGGGAATGGGTTCCATTAAAGAGTCAATAGATAAAGATCTGCTTCAGCCCAGACTTTTGAAAACATTTCTTTTAATTTAAAGTAGATTAAAAAAGGAATTTGTTTAATATTATTCTCTTATCACTCTGAAATATATATTTGTATATTAATCAATTCTTTATTTTTATAACTGTTTAGATCTAAAAGCTGAGGTCAGATCTGATATAAGAATGGTGGGACAGCCATTTGATAAGTGAAAGATTATTTTGTGAGTACTTTGAAAAAGATCTGGTTCTTGTTTTATTTAATTGCCAAAAAAAGCTGAGATCTGCTAAACTGGCACTATGATTTTGGAGGCTGTGGGAAGAAGGTGCTTTCACAAGTTTGTCATTTGATAGAGATATTTGGAATCCAGACCTTGTAGGACTAAATTAAAAGTGGTAGGAATCACCCCTGCAGAAGAATACAGATTTAAATTTAAGGTCATGTGCCTTCATACCATGTAAAATTGTAATTACAGTAGTTTTCTCTACTCATAGCATCTCTGAGTCAAGCAGTTGCCTTCCTTGGAGGCTCCTGGTTTTGATTCACTGATGCTGCCTTTAACCTTAGGAGCATTCATAGATCTGCCAAAATCAGAGGGAGTTCTTGAGGCATAGGTTTTGCCAGATCAGGGCATAAACACGATGCATCAGCCGTTCCACCTTTGCCATCTTACTTATTTTAAAAGTATGCTTTAATTCACCCTGTTAGCATGTAGCTTATGTGAAGTACTGAGCAGTCCTCAGTCCACGTTGCCTTCTCAGGAAGTGTCTACGATCTCAGATGAGGCCCAGGATTTTCACTCGTGAGGCACTGTAAATATGTCGTTGTTAATAAATCCCCCTATTGTGTTGTCTGTTAAAATAAAGCACTACTCTGAATCTTATTTATATTAATGGAAACCTTTCTTGGTATTGGTCAAATTTGTTTGGTTTTTCTCTTCTTCCATGTACACAAGGCTTTCATTGTATGCAGTGCAGTGACATGCTTCATTAAGTATATTCCGTGTTTCAGTCAAAAATCTTGGAAACCACAAGAGGTGTCTTTTTTTCTTAAAAAAAAAATAAAATTAAAAATCTGTTGGTCCTTTGAATGTAAAATATGTGAATAAACTCAAGTGCTTAGCTTTCATATTTCAATGTTTCTCTTCATTTAAATAAATACAGTGGTAAAAGTTCTCATGGTTATATATTATTTGCTCTGAATTATTTGCTGTATTTCCTTTGGTGTTGTACATGATCTTCCAGGTTTGGGAAGATGCAGATATATTTGACTTTAAAACAGTATTTTCAGAAGGATATCTACTGATATATCATTTTTAATCTCCTTAAGAAATGTAACCTATAGTAAGTCCGTCTGTACAAAGAAGCATCTCTAGTAACTATATAATGACTTCAGCATGCTCAGAGAGATTGAAGAAGTTCCTTGGAAAGAAAATGTATCATAAAGTGTTTAGGTTACAATAGTCTTTTTAATGAAAAAAACATCTTTTATAGGAAATCTCTACTCTCCAGTCTCTGGGTCAGACCTTCATTGAAACTCTGTTTTCCTTACATGCAAGGATGAGTTTTCATCTTTTAATACAGTACACAAGAAGCAGAATAAATTTGTTTAGATTCATCATCTTAGAGCCTGAAGGATATTGTAATTGTCCTCCCTAATGCATGCAGAAATACTGACAGAAATAAAAAAGTTTATTTGTTGCAGCCCTCAGTATCATGAGCCCCAACCCAGCAGAGAGAGAGGAGGAGAGTCAATGGACATAAACTGAAAAAAGAGAGGATTCAGCAAGATACAAAGAAAAACCTTTTCACCATGAGGACAGTCAAGCATTGGAAACAGTTGTCCAGAGAGGTTGTGTGTTTGTGTTAAAATCTTTGGAGGTTCTTAAGACTGGATAAATGCCCCAGCAACCTGATCTGAGATGACACTCTGAGGTCCCTTCCAGGCTGAATTGCTCTGAGTTTACGATAAGAAATTTCAAATCAGAAAAATAACAGTTGGGCATCAGCTATGATTTCGTTAAGCAAACTTGCACTCAAGTGCCATGCATCAGCTGAACAAACTGTTTTTCCAATAATAAATTTGCTTGACATATTTGTCAGATCAACTGCTAACTTGTGGACTGGTTTGAAGAATAAGAACTTTATTCAGCATCTTTTCAGATTACTTGCTTCTAACAGGTAGATGGCACATGCAGGTGGAGCCAACAGGAAAGAAAGAAACAATGATTGACAAGACAGATAAATAGTAAAATGTTAAGGTTTCACACTGAAAGCAAGTATTTGCTGAAGAGAGAAATTGTTTCCATTAAACCAGTCAAAGAGAAATTTGTGCTCAGTGTTGCATTTCAAGGTGTGTTTCAGAATATAATAAATAAGATCTGGATTAAGAAAGACTGGTTTATTCTGAAATAATTGTTTCTGAAAGAATTGGAAGCTTATTTCAGGAAAATCACTGCATTTAGGAGTTAATTATCACCACAGCCTTTGGGAGGTTCAGTCTGCCAGAGCTGTGCTGATGAACAGATCACCTGCGCTCTTACTTACTGGAATGAAACAAGTAAGCATGGAAAACACCATAAATACTGCTCAAATTTATTTCAGACTTCCCTCCACTCTCCAGCGATCACAGTCCTTCAACTCAGAACATGGTGGTACCCTGAAGCCAGGAATTTGCAAGCTTGTGCATCTTATTGACCAGCCATATAGAGCAATATTGCACACGGTGATGTTAGGCAGGATGAACAAATGTTTGTAGGGCTGATTCCTCTGGCTGCTACACCTCCAGCATCACTTTTCTCAACAATATTATTTTATATTTAAATTTTATAAATTTATATTTTGTCAAGATAGTTCCTTAAAGCCCAGTTCAGTATCCCACTCTTGCCAGTTTCCAGTTAGTCACAGAAGACCTGCCTCCTTCTTTGAAACCTTTCAAAACTTTAACCCATGAAGAAAGTTAAAACTTTCATTCCTTTGGGAAAAAAGCTAGCGGGAGGAGGGCTGCTGGCCAACAACCTGCTCCAGCATGTGTTACTCTTTTCACTTTCTCATAGGTTCAGGATGTGCAGCATTACTGTCCTGTTAGATTACAGAAGTGAAGATGCTACCTCACCAAAGTCATCCCCCAAACCTATTTTTATATAAAATTAAGCCTTTAAGATGGATGCAGTCTTGCAAACAGCTGGTCACCAATGCACTGATACTTCATTTGCTTGAAAGAGTCCAGTGCAGAGCCACAACGATTATAGAGGGAGTGGAACATCTCCCTTATGAGGAGCGGCTGAGGGAGCCCTTGTTCATGGTTATCAATCTGTAAAGGGCGAGTGTCAGCAGGGAGGGGGTTTTTGCTCTGCTCTGGGATGTCCAATGCCAGGACAAGGGGCAATGGTCCCAAGCTGGAGCACAGGAGGTTCAAGCTGAAGATGAGGAGAAACTTTGTGAGTGTGAGGGTTATGGAGCATGGCCCAGGCTGCCCAGAGAGGTTGTGGAGTGTCCTTGTGTGGAGACACCCAAAGCCCTGGCCGTGTTCCTGTGTGACTGCTCTGGTGATCCTGCTCTGGCAGGGGTTGCACTGGGGGAGCTTTCCAGGACCCTTCCAGCTCCTCATATTCTGGGATTCCATTTAACCACAACCAAAGTGTCAAGTGCAAATGTGCTAAAGCATTTTCATGAGTTGCCTGGCTCTCTGCCACCTCAGCTTTCGTGGCCATTGCTGTGGGCAGCCTGGCCATATGAACTGCAGCCATGTGAAAGACCATCCTGCCTTTTTCAGACTCCGTATCTCCATGACAACCCTCCCAAAAAAACCCTACAGGGAACCAAGAGCCCCTGCAACTTGTGTTACACAGCAAAAGTGACAGCAGCAATCCTACTGGGTGAAAAGAACAGAAAGTGTGAAAACAAAACCCAAACAACAATCCACACATGAAAAAGTAGCAGTAAAACTGACTGCTAAGAATGTACTATTTTTTTTTCAAATTGGAGTAAAAAAAATAAAAGCTTAAAAAGCTTACAGAAATTATCACAAAACTTAACCATGACTTTTGACTGATTCTGTCTTGTGATAACAAGACCTTATTCTTTGTTCAGGCCTTATTTTTACCTCTTCCCAATGAAGGGTTGCACTTTTCCCAGAATTCCTTTTCCAGAGCTATCCCTTTAAATTTGGCAGATGCTTTACCTCTACAGACATTGTTTTGCAGTTTTTTGTTTTTTCCTGTCTTGCTGGTGAGTACTCAAATTTTATTGTATTTACTCTTGTGGATTCACAAGGAAATAGCGTATTTTCATCAGGTTTCATAACATTCATCTCTTCTTTTTTCTGAATTGTCATTGAATATTCTAATTAAAACTAGCTCTAGGACGAGCCATCAGTCTTCACTGCAGTGCAATAGGCACCTCCTTCCAATGTAAGCCTTTGCATTTATTGTAACTATTTATATAAATGCTGCAGTCAGCTCTGAATCCACATAAACCTAACACCATTTAAATTAATTTTGTAAGACTTTTGTGAGACACTGCTGAATAATTTAGTCAAATCCAAATTGATTATAAACAGTTCTTCTTTACAATAACTAAGTTTGAAGACTGTGCTTTTAAGAGGCAATCCAGTTTATCTTGTAAAATGT